ATGAAAATTACAGGCCTCTCTCATCTTTTTAAGTGGGAGAACTTGCACAATTGGTGGCTGACTAAATACTTTTTTGCCCCACTGTAGGTGTTTCTGAATGGCATACTGCTTATGATGTTTGGTATGCAGAATGTCCCAGGTTTGAAACATAGCAGATTTTGAACCAAAGGTATTCTGCCTGTCAAGCAATTGTTATAACCAGAATGACCATAATGAGAAAAAAAAAATGGGAAAATGAAAAAAGGGGGGGTTATTTTAAAGCTGGTTATTGTGCCTGAATATACATGCATTTTGATTATTTATGTATATACATTTAACTTTGTGTATTTCTAAATGTTTGTGTGTGTGTATACACACATACACACACACACAAGTATATATTCCAGTCAGACCTGCCCACAGAGAGAAAAGCAATTGACGGTTGCTTTCCTGGAATGGAAAGTAGGGTAGCCACAGCAACAGGGGAATTATCCAATGGTGGCCTAAATTGCCTGCTGTCTAGATTAAATGTCATGTAAGCCACTCCCAAGTATCTCAATTTGAACAGATTTTATTTAAACCAGTTTAGAGTTAAGCCACAGCAGTACAGAACAGAGCAGTTTAAGGACTGATTGATTGTGTGCCATGAAGTCGATGTTAACTCGTAGTGACCACATAGATTTTCTCCATGAAGATTTGTCTGTAACTTGGTCCTCTGGGTTTTCCAGCAGTGCACCATTGCCACTGTAACTGTGTGCAACCATCTTGCTGCTGGTTGTCCTTTTCTTTACTTTCCTTCCACCTTTCCCAGTATTACAGCCTTCTGCAGAGAGCTAGGTTTCTGCATACAGATAGTCTTCAAGTTACATCCATTTGTTCAAAGATGGTTCAAAGTTACGATGGTGCTGAAAAAAATAACTCATGACCAGTCCTCAAAATTCAGGCCATCACAGTGCCCCCACAAATTCAGGCCTGCCCACATTTACAACCACCACCCTGCCATTGCCCCAGCTGACCTTTATCACCTTCTTTGCCTGGGAAGAGGTAAACAGGCCGGTGGGTGAGAGCTGCAGGTGGAGGGGCGGGTGCTGGGGGAGGGCACTAGAAAGTGCAGGGCTTGAGGTGACGCAGGGCTTGCTGTGACTTGGGGTTGGCTGGCAGTGCTGGGGCTTGCAGGTAGCTGGCACTGCTTGGGGCTTGAGGCAGCACTCTGGATGGCACTGGGCCTGAAGTAGAAGCCCAGGGGCAGCAGCGATGGGCTGAGATTGCTGAAGGCTGCCACCACTGAAGAGTGCCACCTCAAGCCCCATGCCATAGCAAGCCCCACTCTTCGTAGAGCATACCTGCGGCACCTGCTCCCCAGCCCTTAGCTGTCACCCGCCACCTGCTTGCTTGGGACTCCTGCCTCTTCCCACTTCATGGTCACGTGAGATCCTCACTTAATGACCTGCACAGTCCTGGGGCTGCTGGGATTTCATTCACTAAGCAATGCAGTCACATGACTTCAGGGTTTAAAATCGCATCACTTGGTGATGGAAATCCCAGTTCCCATTGCCGTTGTAACCTGAGGACTATCTGTAATGTGTTTGAAATATGATAATTTAACCTTGGTCATTTGGGATTTGACTGAGAAATGTAAGGATGCAGTACATATATGATCTTTGACATTGGAAAATTAGATGAAACATTGTTTGTTCTAAGGGTATATTAAACTATCAGTTTTAACAATTAATGTTTATCAATTATCAAGGCAAAAGTCTTCTTAAGGTAATAACACAGCCATTTCCTTAAGTATGTTTGAAACAATCTATGTTGCTAAGCTAAAAAAAAAAATTGCTAAACTATATTGAGTTTTGGAAAATCTTAGAAGTTACCTTAATTATACAGGCCAGACATATTTTTCCTATTTAATTCACACCCATTGTAAAATGTAAATGAACTTTGCAATGGTGTTCTATTCATTTTGCATATCAGCATACTGTGGTCAGAAAATTAATAGAAATAAGAGAAAATATAAACAAGTGCACTCAGACTTGCAAGATTGATGTCAGCAGTCAAGGTAGTCCAGACAAGAAACCAAACCATGAATAAGTAACATTACCTTTATTGTAAGGTTACAGTAACAGAATCTTGCAAGTCTGAAAGCACTTCTCCCCTCCCTTGCCTTCACTTTCCAGAAAACTAGGGAGGGTCCCTTCTGAGATGCTTTCTACACCCCCATTCCTTCTGTGTGCTGAGATATCTTTTGTCTAACAGTTATCTAGGCTGTGGTTCCTCCCCCTGTCTTCCAAGGTTATTCTCACAGCCTTTTACAAGAATATAGCGGTATGCACAGTGCTGAGCATTTCTAGGTTCGCCCACATTACGCCTCTGTTGCATGAGCTGGACTGGCTCCCAGTTTCCTTCTGGGTGCAATTCAAGGTGCTGGTTATTACCTTTAAAGGCCTACATGGCATGGACCAGGTTATCTGTGGGACTGCCTCTCCCTGAGGGTATCTGCCCAGCCTACCAGATTGGATATGGTAGGCACATTCCAGGTCCCTTCCTTGAAATGTTGCCATCTAGTGGGACCTTGGAAGCGTGTCTTTTCCATGGCTTCCCCTACCTTATGGAATACCCTGCCACCAGTGATCTGGCAGGCCTCCACCCTTTTAGCCTTCCAGAAGACCATCAAGTCCTGACCTTTTACCCAGGTGATAGGGTAGAGTGAGGTATCTTGGGTTGGTTGTTGGTGCATCCCAAGGGGATGACTGAGGTGCTGGGTTTTGGTTGTTTTACTGTTTTATGGTTTTTATAGTTTAGGGTTTTATTGTTGTTGTGAGCCAGCAATAATTGTGTTTTAAGATAGGTGGCCATACAAATCAAATCAAATCAAATCAATCAATCAATCAATCAATAAATAAATAAATGGCTCTGATGATATAATACATCTGACAATATATAGAAACTATTATGTCATCATTACCCCCACCCCAACATTTTAGTATTAGAGAGAAGGATATTGATTTATCTTTTCTCCTTAAGTTTGTTTATTTTTATTTATATTTCAAATTTGGAACTAGGAAGTGACTCTGGGTGGTTTACAGTAAAAACAAAAAATAAATATTAATTAAAATACAATAAAAACAATAAAAACATATTCATACATATATAATAATATCTTCCAAGGTGCTGCTGGTATAAAGGATATTAACATACAGGAACATCTTCAAGGTTGGTTGCCCCTTTTCTTGCCTCTTGCAAGTTGGCAGAGCCAGGTCCTAACCGCTTTCTGGAAGGTCGATAGAGTAGGGGCTTGCCTCACCTCTGGTGGGGAGGGTACTCCACAGGGCAGGGACCATGGCAGAGAAGGCTCTTATTCTGGGCCCTGCCAGCCAACATTCTTTCATCGATGAGGTCCGCAGCATACCCCCTCTGTTTGACTGGGTGGAATGGGTTGATATAATGGGGGTAACATGGTCCCTCAGGAAACCCGGTCCCATGCCATGTAGGGCTTTAG